TTTAAAGCTCGGTTGGATGCTTCTCAATCAGAAGCTGTTGGTACCTGTTCATGTGGATAGTTATTGTAAATTGTAAATCCCTGTAATGAAGCTGTATGATGTCCTTTTTGTTGTTCTGTTGTTTTATGTTTTTATGTTTCATGTGGAACCTACTTGAGCAGGTCTCCCTTGAAAAAGAGATCAATGACCTCAAAGGGATTCACCTGGATAAATAAAGGCTTGAAATGAAATGAAACTATTATTATGATGTGTTTAATGACCAACAAACATTAGAAGAATTGTAAAACTAAACATCAGAGGGCGACAGAAGATGGCAACGAGGCAGGATGTACCTTGGACCCGCCCCCGTCGACGTCAACCAATGGGTGAAGACTAGTTAGGACTATTTAACCAGATGTTGATAAAGAAACGATCTCTTTCATTCAACCAACTGCAGATAGCTAACTGCTCAGGCGGACTATGGACCAGTGAATTGAATGAAAAAAAACCTTTGTAAAAACCTACTATATCATTGCACAAATAAATATTGTTAAACCTTTCGAAAAGCTTCCGGGTCTACTTTTGACCACCTCTTGGTCTTCGAACAAAAGAACACAACAGTTACACAAACTAGATCGATTTAACCAACATTTATAGCGAGCTTTCAAACATATTGTAAGCACCAGGAGCCACGACCCTCTTTCAACCCCAAACACTCAAAAGACTTTGACCTCTTTTGTTTTTTTGTGGTTTTCAAATTCTCTTTAATTTGTTTCGTGTCTGGCGTTGGAATTCAGGTTTTTATTATTGATGAGGGGAAAATGAGAAAAATCCACGCAGTGATCCTGAGTGTGGGTTTGTTGTGTAACGTTGTGTACGTTTAATACTTTAAGTTCACCTATTATGCGCAATGCTCTTGTTGATGTATTTTATACATAAATATGTGTCTCCCGTGTGATGGAAACTTCTGGATCAATGGAGACTCAGAGAGACACGGGGTGAGCTTTGATGGAAACACTGATGGTTTATTTGGAGCTTCGGCCGGAGAATTCACAAGAGATGTGCTGTGTTTTTAAAGATCTCTACCCCAGACCCATGATGTATTTAGATAGTTCTGAGAGAATAATCAACATGCAATAACAAGATAAAGCACTGTAACCTCTATCAGCTGACGCCAACAGGCAGGAACAGAGAGACACTGAGAGCAGCCCAAGGTGCAGGTGCTCAGTGAGGACAGACTGGTACACTGGGTCAAATGTGGGCCCAGGACAATATTTCCCCAACACCCGGTGTGTCAAGAGACTCACAAAGTGTCAGGAAATAAACCCCTCTCTCTTTTCCTCCGTACCCACATCTCTAAAAACGGGGGAACAACAGAGCTGATACAGATTTGCTGCGTCATGACGACATTACTAAAATGTGGGCGGGCTTTACACCCACGGGCCAATCAGAAACGTTGCTGTCAGAAACAATGAGACGTGTTCTGGATGTAATATGGTCTGTGTTTACATTAGCATGCTAACACTCAGAGCTAACCTGTACTGGAGAGAGTATGTGTGAAGAAGCAGGAAATCAAAAGGAACTCACCTTGTGGTAAACCTGAGAGAGAGAAAGAGTTTGAGCTCCATACTGTTTTTGAGAGAGTCCTTCATGTGGTTTGGAACATGATATGGAGTTTCATCACGGCAGCATTTAGCTGAGTTTCTGCTCCAAAGGGGCATGGTCAGCAGCAGCTCCAGAGGGGCGTGGTCAGCAGCAGCTTCAAAGGGGCGTGGTCAGCAGCAGCTCCAAAGGGGCGTGGTCAGCAGCAGCTCCAAAGGGGCGTGGTCAGCAGCAGCTCCAAAGGGGCGTGGCCAGCAGCAGCTCGGTTACATTTAAAGGGCCAGACCCAGAATCATCACTTTAGTAACAGCTGAAATAGAGGGGGATGAGGCTAGAATGATCTGTTTGGTATTTTGGGCAAAACACTTCATAGACATGTTTTGTATAATATGTGAGCTTTAAATGAATGCTCACTTTGCATTTGGGGAAATAATACACTCAGTAAACGTAGCAGAAAATGGAAACCCATCAGACACAGCTCTCATTTATTCACTGACTCTAATAATTTAATAAGAAACACTCATTGTAATTCTTTATTTTTCAAAAGGGGGATGATCTCACACTTAAAGACAGAATCGAGAATCATTCATTAATTACAGAATTGCAAAACAAACATCAGTGGTTTTCTGCGTTTCTGTTTCCAAGTATTTGTACTCACTGGATCCCTCAGGGTTCACATTCACTCATTTACAAATAAGTAAATAACTGTATAGAGTGACAACATGTTTTCACACCAGACACAGGAAGGACATCCCCCTGCTTTTATTCATTAAGGTTATAGTAAATATCATCACGGCAGTCATTAAAGAATAAGGCAACAACAAAATGGAGACCAGCTCCTTCAACGTAAAACATTTTTCTAGATCTTTTTCTACAAGACTCTCCACTTCCTGTCAGTTTATCATGAAGGTACAAAGTCAGTGTTTGGGTATTCCTGTCCTCTCTGTATTCAGGGGAAGAATCCAGAACTTCTCACAAAGACAAACGTTTAGATTTGTGATAATCCTGTGAAATATCCTAACAACAGTTTGATGTATTGTACTGACGCTAGTGATCAATGTGAGGATGCTAACCTTTAGGCTTAACGTTATGGGGCATACTTCACCTCACTACAACTTCTGTGTCAGTCCCTGACGTCAATGGGCCCAAAAATACTTTCCCCATTGACTTACATTGGGAAAGAGACGTCTAGCTATCAACAACCCACTACGAACACTTTTATAGCCCTTATAAAGGCGCTTTAGCCTAATACTAAAGGGGTTTTTACTCCCGGGAATGAACTAGCTGACGCACTATAGATGAGAGTAACACCTACGTCACTTCCGGGCGAAAATTACGGGCCCGCCCACGTTTGGGGGAAAACAAAGCTGTCATTTGAATGGCAGTCAATACAAATTCTGAAGTTTTTGCCAATCTGATCAGAAATGTAAGAAAACCGTGGATTTATGGATCTTCAAAGAGCGCGATTACGATGGGCAGACAGGCAAACAGTTACATTAAATCATTTGAAATCGACGATCGGGCTCGATATATGGTTAAATTGAAATCAGTAGGCGAGGCCGTCATTTCTCCAGCTGTTACTCTCATGAGCGAGGCGGGAAATAATAGTTTTATCATGCCAACAAGCTGCTGTGTTGTTTATTGCACCTCAAACATTCAAACAAATCCAGAGTTCAGTGTTTTCTGAACTTCCTCTAAGAACAAAGGACAAAGAAGAGCTCTGTGGCTTCAGGCTCGATCGCCATTCAAATGACAGCGTTGTTTCCCCCAAAAGTGGGCGGGGCCATACTTTTCGCCCGGAAGTGACGTAGATGTTACTCTCATGTATGGACATTGATAGCCTACTGCTATATTTAACCATATATCGAGCCCGATCGTCGATTTCTAATGATTTCATATAATTGTTTGCCTGACTGGCCATGGTAATCGGGCTCTTTCAAGATCCAAAATCCACGGTTTTCTTACATTTCTGATCGGATTGGCAAAAACGTCAGAATTTGTATTGACCGCTATTCAAATTACAGCGTTGTTCTCCCCCAAAAGTGGGCAGAGCCGTCATTTTTGCCCAGAAGTGACGCATATGTTACTGTCATGCATGCTGTGTGGATAACTGTGTACTCACACATTTGTGCTACGGCGGTCAAAAACCAAATGCCCAGACACACCCAATCCTGTGACAACACACACCTTATATGGCCATAGGTAATAGCACAGCGACACCCTATGGCACACACAGTGAATAACACACAATTGTTTCAACACAAACATGTCCTTGCATTAAAATGGTTCTTACACCTTATTTAAATCATTGGGTTTATAAAAGTTATAAACTGCACTAAAAGCTGAATCCAGAGTTATGTTCTCTCTCCATTCATCTGAATTTAATGACAGGAGGCGCGGCTTAACCTGTTGAACCCCATCCCTGTTTTTCAGGTCTCAGGCTCGAAAATGACATTCCCAGAACAAATGACCATATCTTCCCTTCTAAAAGGGTAAAATTAATAATCTTTATTCTCAAAGTAATGATAAACCTTTGAGTTAGATGTAGAAAAGTCAGAATCAATATAGATGTTTTTTATTTTAAAGAAAATTCAGATTGAACATAGTAAAAAACTGTAAATTATTGTGTCTTCACCATTCCAACTTCTTTTTTACTTATAGTGAAAACTACCCTTGGATGATGGGTTAGTAGACTAAAAGCTTTAGGAATCCAAAGTTCAACATATAATAAGTACCCTGTATCAAGATTGATGCAAAACAAGTGACATTTGACCTTTTTAGAGAGGTTTAGCACAAATAAAACACCTCTGGGGTCATTTGGGTGGATTTTACATATCTCTGGCCCATCTTGGTCGATGTTGATGATTGACATCTCTTTTTAACCGTCAGAGCCAATGGAATCAAGGGGAAGTTCCACATACACAGACACGTTACCAAATAAGGTAACGTATGTGTGTGTGAGAGACGCGTAGCAAAACCGGAAGCTGCGCTAACTTCTGGTGGCTACCATTTGCAGCTAATTTTTATTCTCCGATTTTTGCATAAAAATTGAATTATGGATTATCAATACTTTTTTGAAAGTGACAGGCACATTGGATTAACCTATGGATTAACCTTCAGCCGCGTTCGTTCTCGTTTTAATGCCATTGAACTACGTTGTGTGTTGTCTGTATTTGCTTCCCCTGTCACGAGTTCTGATCGCTCAGTGATGATCCTTTTATCTCTATAATCTGTGGACTCTCAGGATGTTATCTAAGCTTGTTTGTGCAGATCCAATAAGTATATCGATCGGTATGGCTGGAGTTCTGTGCTAACGGCCTTAAGATTTTTTCGCTCGTGGCTAATTCAGAGGCTCTGCGTTAGCTTTGTGGTTTTTTTTGCAAAAAAAAAAAAAAGATCAGTTAGCAGAGTTTCTTCCCGTTACATGGATATAAAACATTCATAGTTTATTAAATATTAAGAAGCCCTCAGACGCTGTTTCCTGCAGATGATGCGTTTTTCCGCCCGGGGGCGGGTCGATGGGGTTCAACAGGTTAAGAACAACTGAAATGCAAATGCTCTATGAGCTACATACGGTACTTTAGCTCTCGAGAGGATGGACTGATTGGTCAATCACATATGGGTCATGTTATGGCGTTTTGCTCTGGAGAGCGTCAGGACATTCTGTCTTCACGCGCCACTGAGCAGCTCTACTAGGAATGAACGAGGTCCCGCCTCCAACGCTGTTTCCAGTTCTCTTTATACATCCATGTGCACTCACACCGCAGACCGAGTGTTTCCCAGGGAATCATGGGATACCTCCCCTGTCTGAGGGATCTGTAGGGAGGAAGAGGAGGAGGAGGAGGAAGAGGAGGACGGACGCTGGTCATTGTCTTCTTTTTCTGAGTCCTTTTCTGTCTCTACGTCTTCCTCTCTATCCGGTACCTCCTCTCCTTCCTGTCCTTCCTCCTCTTCCTCCAGGACGGTGAGTCTCTCCACCACGCAGTGAGCCGTCAGCCGGGCCTCGGGGTCGTGATCCCAGCACTCTGTGATGGTGGAGCAGAAGACGCTCATCCCCTGGAGGACAGAGTTAGACGTTAGACACACCTCCCTCTACGTTTCATTTAGCTGACGCTTTCATCCATGAAGATACAAACTTAAAGGGCCCATGTCATGGCCATTTCCACTGATCATAATTCCATTGTTGAGGTCTACTAGAATAGATTTACATTGGGGGTTTGTGACTGCACACCGTTTACATGCATAAAAACCTTCATAACACACAAGGGGACGGGTAATAACCGGAAAAGCATGACATGGGCCATTTAAAACAGCAAGAAACCAGCAGGTTTGAATAGGCCAAACCATTTTAGTTTAGTTTTCTATCTGTGTTTCAGATGTGATCAGACCATCCTTAGCATCAGCCATCTATCCAGAAATAACAAAGCGCAGAACTTTCCAATCAGAGTGTGTAATAGTGTAATAACTCTGACCTGGTTCTGGGTCCAGGTTGTCGGGATGTCGGGTCGTCCTCGGTCCCTCAGCACCAGATCCCTCATGCTGTCCACACAGGGCTGCTCACACACCTGGGAGCCAAACGCCGGCTCGTAGTTCTTCACCTCTGCACCAACACACACATAAACACACACATAGGGAGTCACCGTAGGGCTGACCCAAAGCCACAGAGACAGGTTCCAGTAACATGTTGCCAGGTGGGCTTCTACATATATTAGAGTAAGTGTTAAAGGGGACTTCTCAGAGGAACTGACAAGATATTGTTAAAGAACATTTGTTGGAACTCATCACAGGAGCTGAAATATGTTCCAGAAACATACAAGGCTATACCGGGACATCTGGAGGCAGGTTTCTGAATACGTTCCTCAATATCTTTCTTACTTTAGCGAGCATCCGTTTTTATTTTTCCTTTTTTTACACTAAAATGACCACAGCCATATTTCCATAAGAAATTAGTTGGAGTTTGCAAGAGCCTTTATTTTCAAAGAACTTCCGAGAGCTAAAGTGAAGCTGGAAATCGAACAACTGACCATCAGGTTTGGAGACGTCCATTTACCCCTTGAGCCAAAGACACCCGGACCGATTTCAATCAAATCTTAACGAGTGGGGGGTCTACCTTCAAGGACCAGAATCTGTTCTGTGCTATTTTGCTTTTTACCAACACACACATAAACACACACATTACACAAAGACAGAGGGGTTTCAAAATTCAAGGACCCTAACCCCTGGAGATTAACGGCTGTAAGGACACCTACAGCTCATCATTAATCTGTCCGGCCCTCAACTTTACTGTTGTGGTAAATCTCAGCTCTCAAATAGCATCGTTCTTTAAGAACACACCTGTAAAAAGCCACTTAAAACTACCTGAAAATCCTTTGCATACCCCTGTTGCTGTCTGGATTAAAGCCTTTTGGAATTGTAATAGGCTGGAAACCTCAGAAACACAATTAGATGTTAATTATAGTTATATCCCAAACTGGATGTTATTGAGTTATGTCCAAAACTGTGTCTGTGATGTCAAAATGACCTTTGACACCCTAAACTCTAAACAGTTTAATCCTTCCATCCAGGTGTTCCTGAAACATAACGTTCACTAAACAGGGACTGAACCAGAAAACATCAAACGTACTGCCATCAATGGTGCGGCGCCTTATTATTTTACCCATTTTGAACCTTGAGCTGAGCTGTAAATAAGCCTGGACTGAGGTTCCTGCCTTTGAATCTCTTGAAGATATACAGTTTAGAGACTTGTAGAAGCTCGTACCTCCGATGACCTGGCAGCGGGAGGCCATCTCCCAGTGAACCAGAGACATGGAGTAGACGTCCATCTGTTTGAAGGCCTCCAGGTCCTCCAGGTTCACTCTGGACTCCAGCACCTCCGGAGCCATGTAGCGGGCGGTGCCCACCTGAGACAAGGAGTCAGATCAGATCATTCAGCTTCAGCCTCGTGGTTTATTTATTGTATTCTTTGCGTAGACTCCGGGCTTACGGAGTCGAGCAGAAGTTCATGCTATTGTTTTATCATGCAGTGTTTGAGAGCATCATAAGATATGGTATCACTGCCTGGTATGGTAACTCGGCAGTCGAAGTAAGAGACTGCTATGAAAATGATGGGGGTCAAAAAACATCCATCTCTCCAAAACATATATGAGCAGTCCATTATTAGACAGGCACAAATAATTGTGTCTGATCCCCCCCACACACTCCACCCAGAACTCCAGCTCCTCCCGTCTGGTAGAAGATTCACGGTTCCCAAGATCAGGCTGAACCGCTATAAGCTCCCATTCCTGCCTCTGTCCATTGAGCTTCTTAACACTCACATGTAATGTAATATACTTTCAAATGTTGGCCATGAGGGTTGTGTAATAGGTCGTCATTGTCAGTATGTGCGTCTGTGTTTGTTCAAACAGTGCATGAGTGATGAGATGTGCATGTATTTGAATGTTTATTATGTTTGCACATGTACATGTGGAACTGCAGGACGGAGTCCAGAACAAATGTCCTTACGGGGACAATAAAGTATATCGTATCGTATCCGTGAACCGTTTACCTGTCCGCTGTTGGCGAAGACGTCCACGGTGAGCGAGAGGTCGAGTCTCAACGCCAGACCGAAGTCAACCAGAGCGCACTCCCTCCTGCTCTTCACCACCAGGTTACTGCTCTTCAGGTCCCGGTGGGCGACTGGCACCTGGAACACAAACAACAACAAACAAGCCCTGTCAATAAACAACTTTAACCCACCATTTAGCTCGCAACAGCACACTTGAAACATCACATCCAAGGGCTAAGAAAGACATTGCTTAAAGACTACAGAACCGTCTCTTCTGGGGTGATCTGAGACTGAATCCATCTAGTGCAGTGGTTCTCAAATGGGGGTACGCGGACCCCTAGGGGTACGTTGGAGTCGGAAAAAAATATATACCAATTTTAGGAAAAGTAACGAAGTTTGAGCAGTGTGGGTTTTATATGAACAGAGTTACACATATTTCAAAACACGAAGTGTAATAACTGCAGGTGCCTCCCTGTCAGAATGACAAAGATCCTCAGTGAAGCACAAGCCCATGTTTCTCACTACATTGTAAGTACAACTTATTAAAAAGATTAGTTCAATGCAACTAATGTCGTCTTAGTGTTATTGCATGATGTTAAAATTGGTTGGCCATGAATTTAGTGATGGATTGTAAACATTTGAAATGTAGCATTTAAGTGTTTCTCAGTTACAGGTTGTTGTTTTAATAAATCAGACTCTGATGGTGCAGCGCTGTACTGTACCTCTTTGTATAGGCTTTTTGTCCCTAACAAATAGTTGTTGCGCTGATCAGGGGGGTACTTGGCTGAATCTTTTTTTCAAAGGGGGTACATTACTGAAAAAAGTTTGAGAATCACTGATCTAGTGGACTGGGGGGGGTTTCAAAAACAGATGACACTTTGGATCAAAAATGGATCGGAGATGTCACTTTTACTTTCATTGTTTTTTTAAAAGAGTTTTCTTACTAAGGGCTAATCACAATCTAGATAGGAGAATACATCAGTAAATTGAAATGTTGAAGCACTCATCGTACCTTAATTTAGTACCTGTATATTCGTGCACTAGGTATGGTACTTATTTAGTTCTTCAGACAACTTCAGTTTTATTTGTTTGATTTTCTCCACTACACATACAAAGTGAATACATTTGTAAAAGTAAAACTGGGTGTCCAGAGATTATCTCACATACCTGAAAACTGGTCGCTTTTCGGCAAGATTCGCCATCTTGAAATTAAAATATGTCATTTACGGGAATCAACAAAACGTTTATTTTTTGGGTTGGGTCTTGGTCAGCACAATTTTCCATAGCTAACATTGATAACAAACATGCACTTTCAGAGGCTGAAACACTAAATAAATGAACTGAATTGGGGGAAACTGGTTGAAATAAATAGTTTGTTTGTCTGAAGGTTCAAGGTTAGTTCAACGCACATTTTCAGCACATTTTAAGACACAGAGGCATTTCAAAGTGCTTCACATAGGCAGTTTGTTTGTCTGAAGTTGATTTCATTTTCTTCTCAGAGTGTACCAGAAACAAACATGTCACCTTCCTCCCAACTTGTGAGTTCCCCGGTGTGATCTACCTTTGGCACCCCACTGGGCGTGGTGTCGCTATGCAGGTGAGCTAACCCTCTGGCGATGCTTCCTGCCATGCACACCAGCTCCTCCCAGCTCAGAGTGTGAGCAGACAGGAAGTCCTGCAGGTTCCCCATGCTGTGATAGGCCAACACCAGCCAGTACTTCCTGTGTCCCGGCGGCCCCCTCTCTTCGGCCGCCAGGAACCGAACCACGTTATCGTGCTGCAGCGTCGGGTCGGAGAAGATGTAGCACTCGTTTCTCCAGGAGGCGAACTCTACGGCGGGAAACACCTTCACCGCTACCGTCTCGTAGCAGTTAACTCCACCCACCCGGCCCTCCAGAAGACATGCCTTCCACACCTCCGCAAACCTGCCCTTCCCCACTAGCACCTCCAGTTTGATGGGCAGGGCTTCCAGTTGATGGTCCCGCCAGTCCGTCACATCGGAGAGCATGTCGTCGTTGGGAGGATGACCCTTACCTGTAGAATCAGAATCAGAATAACTTTATTTGTCCCGTCAATCATCCATCCGTCAATCCGTCCAATAATTTATTAATCCATCCAATTAACCCTGTATTCATGCATCGATCCTTCTTTCCATTTAATATTTCTTTTAAAAATCATCCGTCCATCCATCCGTCCAATAACTCATTAATCCGTCCAATAAATTGAAAGAAAAATATAGCACGAATTGCACACAAATGTATATTTATAGACTCCAGGAGGATGACTCTTGCCTGTAGAATCAGAATCAGAAATACTTTATGTGTCCTGTCAATCATCCATCCGTCAATCCGTCCAATAACTCATTCATCCATCCAATAAATTGAAAAAAAGTATTTTCATTTCTCTAATGCCTTGTCTTTTTATGCTGCTGCAACGCAAATATTTCCCAAATTGGGATCAATAAAGTACTTCTTATGTTATCTTATCTTATGTTATCTTATCTTATCTTATATGTATAGACTCCCCTGTTTCAGCTCCCATCCTCAGCCTCCACCCCCTCTCTCCGAAGGCCTGGTACAGATCGGGGGTGCGCTTGGCGGGCCATGCGGGGCGAGCAGGAGGCGGGCGGGGTTTATCTGGCCGGTGCGTCCGGTAGAAGTAGAAGGCGGCGGCAGCGACCAGGGCCACCAGGACCGGAGGAACCAGACTCACCACTACCACCGGGAGCACATCCTTACTCTGGAGCCGAGAGAACCCTGAGGGGAGGGGGGATAATCATCTGTACATGCATACATCCAACCGTACATACATCCAACCGTACATCCATATATTAATCCAATAACTCATCCATCCATCATCCATCCATTAAGTATTTCCTTTATAAGCTATCCAACTCGTTCTATCCATCCATCCAATAACTCATCCATCTGTCCAATAACTCATTCATCCATCCAATAACTAATTCATCTATCCATCCAATTATTCCTTTATCCATGAATCCATCCTTCCATCCATCCAACTTGTTCGTCCATTCATCCAATAAGTCATTTATCCATCCATCCATCCATCCATCCGTCCAATGATGCCTGTATCCATGCATCCATCCAATTATTCATGTATTCATATATCCGTACATCCATTTAATAAGTCATCCATCCATTCAATATTTCCTTTATAATTCCATCTATCCAAATTGTTCGTCCATCCATCCATCCATCCATCGAATTACTCATCCATCAATCAATCCATCCAATAACTCATCCATCCAATGATTCCGGTATCCATGCATCCATCCTTCCTTCCATTCAACCTGTCCTCTATAAAGTGTTACCGTTGGCTCCCTTGTTGAACAGCAGCTTGTCGTTGCACTCATGTTCTCCGGTGCAGCCGCAGAGCATCATGGCCGCCTGCCCCCCCCCCCTCAGCCTGCGCCCCCCCCCTCAGCCTCCCCCCCCCCAGCTGGCAGCATGGTGCAGTCTCTGGAGGTGAAGTTCAGCAGCAGGCGGGGGGGCAGGCCCTCCAGAGGCAGGGAAGGGTCATGGCACATCGTCTGCACCAACATGGAGCCATTCGTCTTCCTCCTGGGGGACACACACCGTTATAATATAATATTGACTTGTTCAGCCATCCAATAAATCATCCATTCCAGTCATCCAATAAACTCAGCCATCCAGCCATGCCAATGCCCAAGAACGAAGCCATCCAGCCAGCCAGCCAGCCAGCCCGAACGAAGCCAGCCAGCCAGAAGCCACCCACCCACACAGCCAGCCAGCCAAGAACGCAGCCAGCCAGCCAGCCAGCCAGAACGAAGCCAGCCAGCCACCCAGCCAGCCAGCCAGCCAGCCCGCCAGCCAGCCAGCCAGCCACCCACCCACCCAGCCAGCCAAGCCAGCCAGCCTAGGCCAGCCACCAGCCAGCCAGCCAGCCAGCAGCCAGCCAGCCAGCCACCCAGCCAGCCAGCCACCCCCCACCCAGCCAGCCAGCCAAAAGCAGCCAGCAGCCACCCAGCCAGCCAGCCAGCCAGCCAGCCAGCCAAGCCAGCCAGCCAGCCAGCCAGCCACCCACCCAGCCAGCCAGCGCAGCCAGCCAGCCACCAGCCAGCCAGCCAGCAGCCAGCCACCCAGCCAGCCAGCCAGCCAGGCCAGCCATCAGCCACCCAGACAGCCAGCCAGCCACCAGCCAGCCAGCCAGCCAGCCAGCCAGCCAGCCAGCCAGCCACCAAGCCAGCCAGCCAGCCAGCCAGCCAGCCAGCCGCCAGCCAGCCACCCGCCACCCACCCAGCCACCAGCTCAGCCAGCCAGCCACCCACCCAGACAGCCAGCCAGCCACCAGCCAGCCAGCCAGCCAGCCAGCCACCACCCAGCCAGCCAGCCAGCCAGCCAGCCAGCCAGCCAGCCAGCCAGCCAGCCAGCCAGCCAGCCACAGCCAAGAACGCAGCCAGCCAGCCAGCCAGCCAAGAACGAAGCCAGCCAGCCACCCAGCCAGCCAGCCAGCCCGCCAGCAGCCAGCCAGCCAGCCACCCACCCAGCCAGCCAGCCAGCAGCCAGCCAGCCAGCATAGCCAGCCAGCCAGCCAGCCAACAGCCAGCCAGCCAGCCAGCAGCCAGCCGCCAGCCAGCCAGCCAGCCAAGAACCAGCCAGCCAGCCAAACGAAGCCAGCCAGGCACCCAGCCAGCAGCCAGCCCGACAGCCAGCCAGCCAGCCACCCACCCAGCCAGCCAGTCCAGCCAGCCAGCCAGCACCCAGCCATGCCAGCCAGCAGGCCAGCCAGCACCCATCCCGCCAGCCAGCCAGCCAGCCAGCCAGCCAGCCAGCCAGCACCACCCACCAGCAAGCCAGCCACCAACCCAGCCAGCCAGCCAGCAAGCCAGCCAGCCAGCCAGCCAGCCAGCAGCCAGCCAAGAACGAAGCCAGCCAGCCAGCCAGCCAGCAAGAACGAAGCCAGCCAGCCAGCCAGCCAGAACGAGAGCCAGCCAGCCAGCCAGCAGCCAGCCAACCCCACCCACCCCAGCCAGCCAGCCAAGAACGCTAGCCAGCCAGCCAGCAGCCAAGAACGCAGCCAGCCAGCCACCAGCCAGCCAGCCAGCCAGCCAGCCAGCGCCACCCACCAACCAGCCAGCACCAGCCAAGAAACGAGCCAGCCAGCCAGCCAGCAACCCGCCCGCCACAGCCAGCCAGCCACCCACCCACCAGCCAGACAGCCATGCCAGCCAGCCAGCCAGCCAGCCACCCATAGCCAGCCAGCCAGCAGCAAGCCAGCCAGCAGCCACCCACCCACCCAGCCAGCCAGCCAAGAACGCACAGCCAGCCACCAGCCAAGAACGAAGCCAGCCACCACCATCCAGCCAGCCAGCCACCCAGCCGCCAGCTAGCCAGCCAGCCAGCCACGCCACCCACCAGCCACCAGCACAGCCAGCCAGCCACACCAGCCAGCCAGCCAGCCAAGGCCAGCCAGCCCAGCCAGCAGCCAGCCAGCAGCACAGCCACCCAGCCAGCCAGCCAGCCACCCAGCAGCCACAGCCAGCCAGCCAGCCAGCAAGCCAGCAAGCCGCCAGCCACCCACCCAAGCCAGCCAGCAGCCAGCCAGCCAGCCAGCCAGCCACCCACCCACCCAGCCAGCCAGCCAGCCAGCCAGCCACCCAGCCAGCCAGCCAGCCAGCCAGCCACCCAGCCAGCCAGCCAGCCAGCCAGCCAGCCAGCCAGCCAGCCAGCCAAGAAACGCAGCCAGCCAGCCAGCCAGCAAGAACGAAGCCAGCCAGCCACCCAGCCAGACAGCCAGCCAGGCCAGCCCGCCAGCCAGCCAGCAGCCAGCCACCACCCAGCCAGCCAGCCAGCCAGCCACCCAGCAGCCAGCCAGCCAGCCACCCACCCACCCAGCCGCCAGCCAGCCAGCCAGGCCAGCCAGGCCACCCAAGCCAGCCAGCCACCCACCCACCCACCCACCACAGCAGCCAGCCATCCAGCCAGCCCAGCCAGCCAGCCAGCCAGCCAGCCAGCCAGCCAGCCAGCCAGCCAGCAGCCACCCACCCAGCCAGCCAGCCAGCCAGCCAGCCAACCCCAGCCAGCAGCCAGCCAGCCATCCATCCATCCATCCCCATCCATCCCCATCATCCATCCATCCCATCCCATCCACCCATCATCCATCCATCCATCCATCCATCCATCCATCCATCCATCCATCCATCCATCCATCCATCCACCCATCCATCCATCCATCCAATCCATCCACCCATCCATCCATCCATCCATCCATCCATCCATCCATCCACCCATCCATCCATCCATTCCATCCATCCATCCAATAACTAATGGATTAATTTCATGGTTTTTATCTTGTCGTTGTTTTTCCTCCCAGAGGAAAAGGAACATGCATATCCATGATTGTAATAATACTAGTGTGTGTGTGTGTGTGTGTGTGTGTGTGTGTGTGTGTGTGTGTGTGTGTGTGTGTGTGTGTGTGTGTGTGTGTGTGTGTGTGTGTGTGTGTGTGGGTTGTGGAGTTGTACGTGTCCTATTATATATAAATATGTTTTTGCATCACTAGCTAAAGTGCAGCAGCGGTAAATGCTGCCTTAGGTTACACACACACAACACACACACACACACACACACACACACACACACACACACACACACACACACACACACACACACACTTTTTCTACTCTTGTTGTTTCTGGCAGAGCACTGCTTGTTAAAATGTCTCCCTGTAAACTTTGACCTGAATAAAGCGTGTGTTTCTTCTTCTTCTCCTCTCTTATCTGCAGGGTGGGGTCGGCTGACAGGAAATGAGAGGGGGGGGGGGGGGTCTGTTATCCAAACAAAAGCAGGAATCAGCAGAAACTTCTTTCCCGTCTTCAGAGAGAGAAGCAGAGCGTGGAAAACTCTGAGGAGCTGCAGAGTTTCTGAGAGGAAGGAGTGCTGTTTCTGATGACACTAACACTGCAGCACATGAGACAAACTTACATTACAACTGGTTTTATTTACAGTTAGGTTTTCACTTGCACCGTGTGAAATGTTCCTTAGTGTTTGGTGCAGTAATTAAGGAAAGATAAATGAAAGTAAAAAGTTGCCACTGTAGATAGAAAACAATGAATGATCCAACAAAGGCTCTAAAATGGGTTTGGTTGTAAATGCACGACATCTGACGGAGGTCGGGGTGCACAGATATTTAAATTCCTGTGTTTTTCAGATCTGACCTTCTTTTAGTAAGCCTTGTTAGACGCGTTTATACAAAGCGACTTACGATTCAATACTGTGGACAATCCCTGCCCCTGAACAGGTGGGTTTGGAGGAGGGTCTTGAATGTGGCGATTGTGTCCGATGTGTGATGGAGATCCAGTCTTAGAGCAGTGCAGCTAAAAGCCCCCATGGCCCCGAGGCTTCACACTATGATTTGTGTTACGTTGTTGTTTTTCTATTATTTTTTAGGGTAGCTTATTTGTTGTTGTTGTTGTTGTTGTTGTTGTTGTTGTTGTTTCTAATCTCTAATAGTTGAGTTGAGCTCATAGGACTTGATTCCCTTATAATAATCGGCACCTTCTTGAGTTCTTGAGTGGAGGAACGGGTAATAACATCATCAGGTGGGCCCCCTCCTTCCTCAAAAAGCTAAAGTACACACATCCTTAACTCAAGTAGAAGTACACACATCCTTAACTCAAGTAGAAGTACACACATCCTTTACTCAAGTAGAAGTACACACATCCTGTACTCAAGTAGAAGTACACACATCCTTAACTCAAGTAGAAGTACACACATCCTGTACTCAAGTAGAAGTACACACATCCTTAACTCAAGTAGAAGTACACACATCCTGTACTCAAGTAGAAGTACACACATCCTGTACTCAAGTAGAAGTACACACATCCTGTACTCAAGTAGAAGTACACACATCCTTAACTCAAGTAGAAGTACACACATCCTGTACTCAAGTAGAAGTACACACATCCTGTACTCAAGTAGAAGTACACACATCCTTTACTCAAGTAGAAGTACACACATCCTTTACTCAAGTAGAAGTACACACATCCTTTACTCAAGTAGAAGTACACACATTCTTTACTCAAGTAGAAGTACAGATACTCGTGTTTAAAAATACTCTGGTAAAAGTAGAAGTACTGACTAAACTTCTTTACTCAAGTCAAAGTAAAGAGGGCTTTGAAATGTACTTCAGTAAAAAGTACCCATAACTAGCAGCTGCTTTAAAGAGTACCTGACCTCCCTTTATATTAATAGAACAATAATGTCATTGTTAGCTAATGAATGTTTCCATGCTGAACAACGGCAACATGACAACGTTTTCATTGGTCCCTCTTCTTTAGAGAAGACCAGGAAATGATGGATACACGGATCGTGTTCAAATCAATAGGCACGCAATGACTCTAAATAATAATGATCACGCCACCAAACACACATTCAAACTAAAGGAACCAGCCTGTTTGGGAAATGTGAGAAGTAGAAAGTACAGGTATTTGTGTTCAACATGTGAGAAGTAGAAAGTACAGGTATTTGGGTTCAACATGTGAGAAGTAGAAAGTACAGGTATTTGTGTTCAACATGTAAGAAGTAGAAAGTACAGGTATTTGTGTTCAAAATGTAAGAAGTAGAAAGTACAGGTATTTGTGTTCAACATGTAAGAAGTAGAAAGTACAGGTATTAGTGTTCAACATGTAAGAAGTAGAAAGTACAGGTATTTGTGTTCAACATGTGAGAAGTAGAAAGTACAGGTATTTGAGTTCAACATGTAAGAAGTAGAAAGTACAGGTATTTGTGTTCAACATGTAAGAAGTAGAAAGTACAGGTGTTTGTGTTCAACATGTAAGAAGTAGAAAGTACAGGTATTTGTGTTCAACATGTAAGAAGTAGAAAGTACAGGTATTTGTGTTCAACATGTAAGAAGTAGAAAGTACAGGTATTTGTGTTCAACATGTAAGAAGTAGAAAGTACAGGTATTTGTGTTCAACATGTAAGAAGTAGAAAGTACAGGTATTTGTGTTCAACATGTAAGAAGTAGAAAGTACAGGTATTTGTGTTCAAAATGTAAGAAGTAGAAAGTACAGGTATTTGTGTTCAACATGTAAGAAGTAGAAAGTACAGGTATTTGTGTTCAACATGTAAGAAGTAGAAAGTACAGGTATTTGTGTTCAACATGTAAGAAGTAGAAAGTACAGGTATTTGTGTTCAACATGTAAGAAGTAGAAAGTACAGGTATTTGGGTTCAACATGTAAGAAGTAGAAAGTACAGGTATTTGTGTTCAACATGTAAGAAGTAGAAAGTACAGGTATTTGTGTTCAACATGTAAGAAGTAGAAAGTACAGGTATTTGGGTTCAACATGTAAGAAGTAGAAAGTACAGGTATTTGTGTTCAAAATGTAAGAAGTAGAAAGTACAGGTATTTGTGTTCAACATGTAAGAAGTAGAAAGTACAGGTATTTGTGTTAGAAATGTAAGAAGTAGAAAGTACAGGTATTTGTGTTCAAAATGCAAAAAGTCAAGGTAAAAAGTCGTCAGATAAATAAGTAGTGGAGTAAAGCACTGATACCAGAAACATGTACTTAAGTACAATAACGAAGTTACACTCTAACCCTGCGTTTTACTCCTCCTTGTGGTGCGGCCTTCGAGCCAGTCGTCACACTATAGCAATACGTGACATTAAGACAGTTCAAAGACACTTTAGAGAGAAATATAGCGATAGTAATAATGACTGTTTACCAGATGGCGATGCAGATCTCGTCAGTACTGGAGCAGAAGGAGGTCAGAGAGCAGTTACTGAAGCAGACGCTGTCCTTACACACCGGAGACGAAGCCTCACACCACTTACACAGGTTGAAGCTCAGGTGAGTGAAGCCGGACACACCTGGGGGAGAGACAGGAAGTAGTGAGACCTGGAGGAACAAACAGGAAGTACTGAAACCTGGAGGAACAAACAGGAAGTACTGAGACCTGGAGGAACAAACAGGAAGTACTGAGACCTGGGTTGCGGTCGAATAGTCCAAAAATCAGCTCCTAAGTTCTAACCCTATCATCTATTCCTTGACCTCTGAGTGAAAGGTCACGGGGTTAAGGGATAGTGGATAGGAGAATTCAAAAGGACTTAGGAGAAGAGACTGCGGTACTTTAGAGAATCGACTGCACTTTCACTATCCGACGTGTTTATGATGCGCCAGCGGAGGTCATCAATGTGCGCCTGCTGCTGTGGGGAAACTATGGAAACTACAGTTTTCTATACAGCGGACTACAACATGGATGTTTAATAAGAACGAGGGACTACTGTAAACTCATCTAGAGACTCTGCACCGTGCTCTGATGCTGTTATGCTTTATGAACGGGGACAACAGAGAAACATATTCTTCATGACCAAAGTTGGAATTGAAATAAAAAAGGAAAGTGAAACTTATGCTCGTCACCCTCTCCCTCCGGTCCACATTAATACAAATGATCCCAATACGTATGATTGTATGAAAAGATCTTCAAATCAATACAAATGTATTTATTATAAACGTTAGTCCTTAACATCTATCACTGTGTATATCACCATTCAAACATCTTTTAAAAGTTGAACAAACCCCACACAGCTCAGTAAAGACTGTGAAATGTTGACTTTATTTGATCATTTCAGTAAAAACTAACGTTCATATTTCTCTTTTTGATTATAATACTGATGAACGTTCAAAACAAAGCACTTTGGCAACTTACCACATACGTTTTAAAAAGCTTAATAAGCACCGTAACTTTCATGATATCATTTCTCGGTCATAATCGGTTGTTTCCGTGAACGGCCGACTGTTGTGTGACGGCAAATGCTGCGGCCGCAAGGCATTGTGGGACAGCATTTTCTCCTCTCCTTTCGTAAAGGGAGGTCCAGTGGTTCCTAGGCTAAAGGAGGTTATAAAGGAAGTTTGAAACCTCCTTTCCTTTCATCTAGAGAATTGGAACGGCACTTATCATGGCTGCCACTGAGGGACTTCCGGGTCATTTCACTCCGTTAGGAAGGTTCCTAAGCTAAATGGACTATTCGACTTCAGCCCAGGTGGAACAAACAGGAAGTACTGAAGCTGCTGAAACTGAACTGAAGGAGCCTCCTGTAGAGTGTTCTAGGTGTTGTTTTGTTTATTTTAACTATAGTAATACGTGACAAAGACGCAGCGTAGAAAGAAATATAGCAAGTAAATATGAAGCTGGACACACCTGGAGGAACAAACAGGAAGTACTGAAGTGCTGAAACCCACCTCTTCTCCTCAGCATTTTGACATCTTGTAGATTGTTGCTTTTAAATTGTCTTTTATTTTTACTTGTACTTGTTTTGTGAGCTGAGCTTTGTGTGATTTGTGTTTGTTTGTTAGACTGTACAGCACTTTGGTCTGCAGGTTTTAAAGTGCTTCATAAATATAGCTGTATTGTAAGAGACAGTTTAACCTGTTAAGCCCTAGAGCCCCCTGTACAGGGGGCAGTGGGGTGTTTTTTCACAAAACTGTGTCTCAGGTCTTCTTAATATTTAAAAACCTATTAATGTGTCATACCCATTTAACGGGAAGAAACTCAGCTAACTGACAATACAAACCATTTTTACCGAAACAAAACACAAGTCTCACAAGGAGCGTCTAAATGAGCCCTGAGCGAAAAAATGCTAACACTTACCACAGAACTCAAGGTAAAAATACCCTTATTACTTATCGTAACTGCAAAATCAAGATATCAAATTAAAGCTGAGATTCCACAAATTCTATAGGTATAAGTATCATCACTGAGCGATCAGAACTCGTGACAGGGGAAGCAAACACAGACGTCACAACACGTGAATTACGGAACATTCACGGGAAATCGTCTCAAATTAGATCAATAGTTGTGTTCAATGGCATTAAAATGATAAAAACGC